CCTAACTAAATTATTACTAATACTAGCCTAAACTTTTATACTAGTAAATTTAAGTAGTTAGTAAGGTTACTTTATATTAATATTAAAGAAATACTAATTAAAGCCTATAATAGTATTAGTAAGGTTAAAAGATACTATATACCCCTCTAACGTATATATAACATCCTTTATAGTAAGGGCTACATACCTAAGGTTACCTTTTAGCTAGCTATTAAAGTAATTAATAATATAGCTAGCCTAAATAGCCTAGTACCTATACTACTAGTCTTTAGCGCCTACCTATAAATCTCTAACTTATTACTACCTTTACTAACCCTACTTAAAAAGGCTAAAGTAGTAAGAAAAGTAATAAAGGCTATTTACTAAATCTATATAAAAAGGTAAGTTAATAAGGTAGTAACTATATATAACAGCCTAAATACTACTATAATAGTAGCCTTTTTACTTTAATTTATAGTCTATATCTAGCGTAAGAAAAAGGGCTAGTAAGGCCTTTTTTACCTTATTACTAGTAATAAAACTACTTATACTATTAACCTCCCTTAAGGCCTATAAACTTTTTATTTAACTATTATTAAATTATACCTTAAAGATACTTATAATAAGTAATAATAGCTACTCTCTAAGGTAAGTAGGTAAAGTAATAAGGAGAATAATAATAATAGTGTAGTAGCCTTATTACCTACTAATAACCTTATGCCTACTAAAGAAATATATAATAGTATTACTATTACTATATACTTATAGCTAAAGTAAAAAGCTAGCTGCCTATAGAGGTATATTAATTTCTTTAATAAAACTAGCTTTACTATTAGGCCTATTACCTTTTTTACTACTATAAGTATAGTATATATCTTAATAAAAGAAGAAGCTAACTAGCTGTTATTAATTAAGCTATAAAAAAAAGGTATTATTACTACCTTAGGGAAGCCTTTTAAATAAGTAACTACTACTAAGATTAAAGGGCTTATTACTTATAAGGTATTTTACTTTATTTAATATAATAAGAATAAGCATACTAAGGTATAAATATTTAAATTATAGATTATTAATAAGGTAAAAGGCTAGAATAAAAAACTATATAAGAAATCCTACCTTATTATCTAAAGATATACTAATAATAGTAAAAAAGTAATTCTTACTTAGTTACTTATAATCTAGTAAGCTAGCTAGCGCCTTATTCTTACTTTTACTTTATCTTTTATTTATAATAATAATAATTTCTTACTTTAGTTATATAATACTACTTAGGCGTATATATAGTTAACTACCTTATTAAATTATATAATTCTTATATACCTTTTATTATAGATATAGGACCTTTATCTAAAGGGCACTATTATATAAGTAGTAAAGCTATTATATAGTATTATAAAGGTAAGCACTTACTAGTAGGTAATATATAGTTACTACTATAAAGAAAAGCTTTAGATAAAGACTTTAACTTTTAATTTATACTTACTAATTACTAATATAAAGAGCTTAGACTTTAGGATTATTAGTATACAGACTAATAATACTATTACTTTTTTAGATAAATCCTTTTTTACCTATAAGGCTAATAAGCTTACTAAGGCTATATTTACTACTAAGGAGAAGTAAATCCTTACTATTAATAACTTACTTACCTTTAATAGTAGTGTAGTATCTCTAACTACTAAAAGGAAGATCCTTCTCTAATAAAAAGGCTAAAGTAAGAGACTTTAACCTATTAATAAAGAATCTCTATAAGCACTTAAGTAGTATATTAAATAATAAGCCTATAGTATATATATTATATTAGTCTGCTAGCCTAAAGCATACTTTAACTACTTTATTATAGTATAATACTAATTACCTAATATAAATAAAATTAAGGCACTTAACTATTATATTATATAATAGATAAATAACCTTAACTATAGTTTATTATTTTACTTACTTAACCTTAAATCTATAAAGCTTTTTATCTTTATAAATAGATTATTTATAAATAATAAGGACTTTACTTTATAGCTAGGATTTATTATTATTCTTACTAATAAAGCACTTATAAGTACTACTATAAGTAATAAATTTACTATAACTAGTAATATTATTTACTTTAGCTTAATAAAGTATAAGTAAGTTACCTAAAGTGTATTAGCTTTTAAGATCTATAGTATAGTTACTAGCACTAATATTACCTATATACTTAGTATAACTATTATAATAATTACTAACTACCTTAAGCTACTATATATACTAATAATTCTTTATACTAACTTATACTTACTTTATAAGTGCCTTATTAAGCTTAGGACTATAAAAAAGAAAAGGCTTATAATTAATATTATAGCCCTCTAGTAGTTATATAAGTAATATAAAGTCTATAAGGTATAATAGATATAAGGTAATAATAATCCTACTAATAGATTTACTAAATTATTACCTAATAAGGCGTTAGAATAACTAGTTAGAAATAGGATAGTTTAGATTAGTATAAAGAGATAAGTTTTTTAAGCTATATAACAGATTATATAAACAAAAAGTATTAAATACTTTTAGGCTTTTAATTTTTATTACGTTTTTAAGCTTTTTAGCTACTAGGTAGTATCTAGGCTATTTATAGTAATTTTCCTTTACTTTAGAAAGTTACTAGTGTTAGGATATTTAACTATTTAATAGTAGAGCTAATCTATAGTTACGTGATTTACTATCACGTGACTTACCCTAGCGGCTCACTTACACCACCACGAATATCCGCGGTAACAACTTCTTCTTCTTTTTCCTATTATCTATCTCAACAAGCAACTAGTAGTCAATCGAACTATTACTGCTTTACGATCGCGATCCCTGTGATACCAACAGTTACCTCTTTGCTGGGGGGGGGGGGGGGGCTGTGTGACACAGCGCCGTCGCTGCAACCCGTCAATATCAACGGCCATGCTGATACCCCCGACAATCGCCGTTCTTCTTTCTGCAGCGATGAACGGGGAGAGCGGAGGGCGCCTCCGGGATTTGTTTTTTGTCGGGCTTCGGGGAGCTGCACGTTGGGCATTATTTGCCGCGTCGAGGGGCGCGGGTTTGCTTGAGGGAAGGTTCGCGCAGGAGAGGAACCGACCAGGGAGGGGAGGTTGCTCGAGGAGGCCATTAGGCACATTGGCATAAAGGGTCCGTCATAGCTATCCTGCGATCTGTGTATTCGAGGCTGATGGGCATTGCGGCTGCTGATCGACGAGACCGCGAAATGTGATGAATGCACGCCGCGCCCGCTGAAGATTGCTGCCAGGACCCCCTTCCTCCCTCCCTCCTCCTTCCTCTTTCCTCCTTCCTCCACCCTGAATATAGGAACCTTTGATTAGGAAATCCTCTCGAGCGGAGAGCCAGGTCCTGAGCCGAGATTTGCGTACGCGCGCAATACTCAGTAGATAGCGGACCGCGGTCGACGGACGGGATTTGGCGGCGGCCGTGGCAGGCATATGGTAAGACATTCCACAGCAAAGCGGCTATCCGAATTGACGGACCACATGTTGGGGTGGAGGAGAAGGGTTGATATATTCAAGGTTTCTCCATTCCCCTCTTTTGAGAGGAAGACAGAGGTCTGAGGTGGGTATCCCGACCATGCGCCGCCTCGAAGGCTTCGTTTCTTTCATTTTGGCAGGCCCCAGCTCGAAGAACGCTAGGCCGGGAAGGGGAAACGAGACGATGGGCACGGCTGATCCTCCTAGACCCAATATGTTTTGGTACGTCGAGATGCTTGGTATGCTCCCATGGCCCCGCGTCCGCGGTTTTCAAAAGGCCGTGCCCGTCAAGGCGGCCCGTGTCGGAGAGAGCCTGCTCGGCCAAGGGAACGATGGGAAGGGCAAGCCGAGAGAGAGAAACGCCGGCTGGTCTCTGGCACCGTTGCTGTTGCGATTGCTATTGCTATTACCGCAGTACTCTCCGTGCATCCGCGAACGGATGGAGACACCCAACGAATCGATTACCTTTTTTGGCTCTGTCAAAGCGCGGCCCAGGGAGTCGGATGGCCTACGTCAGTCCGAGTTGGAAATTGCTCCTTCGCAAGGTGATTCGGCGTTATGTTTCTACATGCAGATCACATGTATACTGCCCATGCGTGAGTGGACTCGACGACGGTGGATAAAAAGGGTGAAATCCATCCACCCTCGTCCTACAGCCTACAGGCCCCCTCGTCTGTGTGGGTTTGGATGTCTGACTCGGCCCTGGGAACCGGACCTGGATTCTGGGAGCTCTCGATTATACTGATGTTATGCTTCAGTCAGTGCGCACACGGGCACGGGCTTCCTGACATGTAGGTAATCCATCCGCGAAGCTCGGATCTGGCTGGACAGGGAAGACCGAGACCGAACCAGCCCTGCACCGGCCCCGGCCGCGACGGAGCGTCCGGGCGCGCTCAGCGCGGTGCATCATAGCCGGGAAGCCCATCGTTGATCGCAGGTTCTGACCGGTTCGCTCGACGCCGACGCCGCGGCACTGCTTTGACGTAGTGTACGGAGGAAAAGAGCGGGTGGACGCCGCGGGACTGGACCGCTTGAAGAGGTTGTCGCTGGTATCCGCATATCGACGTCCAGGGGGGACGCTCTGTCAAGACCCTGGGCTTCGGGAGACGAGACACGGGCCCTTCCCTCATGGTCTCCATAAGCTCCATAAGGCCTTGCTGGGTATGGAGATTGTAGAGCGCCAGGGCAAGGGGGCGCAAACGGAGGGGAGGGCGTAAGGTGAGGCCGCTTGGGGGGCCATGTTGGGATAGCGAGTCGAGGTGCTGGGGCCGGTATGTACAGAAACATCCTGGGAGTCTCTCGCCGGAGGCTCGTTGAATCATCTCGAGATAGGTCGGCGGCAGTTGCGGCCCCGGTAGAGCGGCGGCCGCCCAATTTATACGTTCCATGGATTATCCGCTCTGAGATGACGAGTAATACCAGCGGTCCGTCTGCTAGTTCCCGCAAATACACGTAGCAGACAGGGAAGACGTGTGGCACAGCATCGCAAGGTTTGGGAATGTTTCCGCGCGAACTCTAATGAGTAAATTACCGCGCGGGTTTGGAGCAGTCGCGGACAAGTCGGCAGATGAGAAGGCCGACGGCGCAGATACTGTCACCGCAAGTCTGGCCAGGCTCCGGTCGGCCAGCGCATGCATCGTCAGCCGCTGGGCCATCACGTCAAGCAACTCGGCCAACCCTGCGGAACCGGCCCTAGAAGGCTTGCGGAAACCATGGGAGGAGGGTATGCACTATCGTTCATAGTACGAAGACAGTAACCGATTAGCTAGTCCACTGCCTACAGCTGAGGAGCTGACGAGGAGCCGCAAGCCTGCCTGCCTTTCCCCCGTGTCTCCCTTCCTCCGCGTGTCCTTCATTTCTCTTAGCCCAGGCAGTCCGACTTGCGCTGCTTGTCCTGAGGTAAAAAGGCTGAGCTCGTGGTGGGGGTCCGCTCGAAGACTATCAGAAATTGCTCTCCACCCACTCTGGGATCTCAGGGCGGCTTAGCTATTTCAATTGGCATCTCAAGCCGAACGGATATGTATGCAAGCGTGAGCTTTCATCCTTCTAATTGCTACCCAAAGTGAATTCTGGTAGTATATCCGTACCATGTTGAAGGTAGCAGATTTAATCACACCAGATGGGTTCTGTGTCGGTACGTATCTGACAACCTTACAGGTGTCTTTTGCTGAAAAAGATGAAGACTCCAAGGACAGCTGGTGGCGGGCATAGCTCTAAAAGATAGATTCTAAGGATTCGTTGACTCGGTTAGGTCGAGATTGAGATTCTCCGTTACGCTAACGGTACTTAAAGCCCGACATTGGAATAAATCAGAAACGGAGGCCCCCACCTCCGACGGTGGAATCTGTTAAAGCGCGTGATACGGCAGCGATACCCTTGCATTGATTGATCGTTATGTTGTGTGTATCTATCTGTTGTGGCACTTTGCCATCGCCGATCGACCCTTCTAAAGGGGGGTGAATGTTCGGAACATTGTTTTCCCGTATTTGGGTGGAGAAACTCATCTCAGAAATGGCTAGCGCATCTCCAGCCATCTTCCCCATTTGCGCACGGACGCGCCCGACCATATTGCCCACTTCGACAGAATCCGGCTGAGTCGCCGGCCCCACAGCCGTGTCACAGCTCCAGACACAGGTTTGGTGCCCACTCGACGGCCCACGATATGAGCCACCATTTTACCCCAACCATGCAACCATATCATGCCAAACGGAGATACGGCGGACATAGCTCAGTTGGGAGAGCGTCAGACTGAAGTTAACTTCAATCACTTAATCTGAAGGTCGTGTGTTCAATCCACACTGGCCGCATCTTCACCTTTTGCTGCGTTGCCCAACTGGATGAGGATCGGGTGGGGGGTGTGCGATGCATTTTGCGTGTCTTTTGCTTTCTGAATATACACACACACACATAGGTTTTGATTCCTTTCGAGACACGAATGCGCAACACTGGTTGGGCGATGTTAGTCGGTCATTGGCGAAGACTCCGAACTTGATAGTCGCCACAGTTAACTTGAGGATGCAGTCTGAGCGGGCTACTGGTTCCATAAGTCGAGAATTATTTACGTACACGGTCTACGTACAGATATTGAGGATTCGACGCAGTATCATTATTACCAGAATGTAACTTTGAAGTCGACACAAACATGGCCAATGATAAAGTTATTGCGGTGTTGATGACGGCATTGAAGGTGAGTGGCACGATACAGGCGGGCGGGCCGCGGGTTGTGTGATAAGAGCCCCCCGGCCCGGGGATGTTCCACCACCACCGCCACCAGCGCCCGCAATCTCCTGGCCACTTCGTCACGAAACGCGACCTCCAGAAGCTACACTTAGCCTAGGCATTACAAGACACGTTACTCCCTACAACACAACCGCCTCGCCTCGCATATTCTATACGCATCTCGCGCATACTCGCCTCCCAAGCCATTCTCTTAAACCCAAAGACTGTGCACATCATCTTTGCACAGTCGCCCGTAACCTGCCCACGACCACCCCCACCACGGCTTTATGCAACATTGGCCGACCGAGTCTTCAGAAACCCAGCATCAACAAGACAACCCCTCAACATCCTCTTCTCTCCTTCAGCATGGCCCTTCTCAACGCCACCAGCCGACCGGCGTCGCCCAACTTCGCCGCGACGACTCGGGCAGCGCGTCCCCGCGTTCCGTTCCAGACACCGCCGGCCGCCATGCATCGCTCGATGCCGTCAGCGCCGACCAGCTTGACGAGAGGCTTCGACGGCTGAGCGTCCCCGATACTGCGTTTTCCGAAGCTCACCAAGGCGTTATTGCTGGTCAGCGAGTGATTGAATACGAAAATGCCTTGACGCCGTCCACGCCTCGGCACCCACTGGGCTTCAAGGTCATTAAGCGATCTGACCCTCGACCTGATGGCGTACAGCTTACAGACTTTCCCAATGGTACGTACGCCTCTTGTGTAGACATCTTCCGCGCTGGAAATGGACTGACATGTATGCACGTGCTGCAGAAATTTTGACCCATATCCTGTCGCACCTGCATCCCGACTCTCACTCGGCGATATCTCTCGTGTCGAAGCGCTTTTACTCCCTCGTCACGACTCCACATGCGTGGCGAATGGCGTTTTTGCGATTCTTTCCGGGCCATGACAGTTTGGTCACCAAGGCCGACCAGAGTCGCTCGGGGCCGTTGGACTACGACCCATCCGACTTCGTCCGGTCTGAGGCGCGCTACTTTTCGCGTTTGACCTCCCTTGCGACTTGGAGGAGCGAATACCTGCTCCGGACGCGTCTTCTGCGGGGCCTCATCAGAGGTAAACCAGGAACCAAGTCTGGAGGAATTGGCGCCTCCGCCCGGGGCGGCAAGAAGACGAGTGCCGTCCTGACGTACAACTCGAAGCTGCCATGGGCCGTGACCCACCTCCATGCCGACTTCTCCGCGAAGAAGGCTCCCAGAGTTATCCACGGTGCCTCGGACCTGGGCGTCGCGACTCTCAGCGATCCCTTCATCGGCAAGGTGGAGAAATGGGGGTTCAGAGACCCCTTTTCCATCCTCCAGCTCGACGAGGCGTTCCCCAACCTTGAGCCGTACGGTACAGGAGACGGCCCTGCCGCTTGCCCGAACCTCATGGACGTCAGCCATCCCTACGGCGTGCTGTCTGGCGAGGGTTTCCCGGGTGGCCGCGCGTACTACCGCCCGATCAACGAGTTGCATGGTCGATACCTTGGCAGCGACACTGGTGTGGTCGACACCTATCCCGACATTCCCAGGATCCCAGAGCTGTCGGAAGCGATTTCGAGTATTTGGCTCGCCAAATCCGCCGCTGTTCCCAACATGACGCACTCGACCGTCGGCATCTTGACAGGCTCCACGCTCGGCATTGTCACATCATATGCTCTCCATGGAACCGGGAGTGGTCCTCGGCATCCGAACGGCGAGATGACGGCGCGGTGGGTTCTCAGCCCCGGCGTGCCCATCGTCTCAATCAAGGTCGATGATCAGTACACGCAAAAGCGAAAGACTGCTCAGCGCATTTGGGCCGTCGCCCTGAACGCTCTGGGCGAGATATACTACCTCGTCGACACGCCCAAGACCACCTTGAATCGGTCAAAGGGCGAGGACGTAACCAAGAACGCGTGGTACGCAGCCCGCTCGGTTTACTGGAGGCTCGTAGATGAAACGCGACGTCGGGCCAGGCCTGATGAGTTTGACAAACACGCTCTCCGAGGCGCCTACTCTCCTAGATCGCCAGCCGACGCCATGAAGCTGAGCAAGGAGCAGCTCGTCGCAGAAGCACGCGAGATTGAAAAATTCTTGCGCTACAAGCCATCCCATTTCCGCAAGGTTTGCGATGGCTGGGACATGAGAAGAAGACTCGAGGTCGATTTCGCAAACGACGATGCCAGCAGTGCCGGAGAGGTCATTGTTTCCATCCAGTGTGGCCTTGACGAGACAACCCCGCCAAGCGTTACCCGCTACATCAGGACTCTGTCTCGAACGCCTCGACCGACGCCAGAGGACTTGGATGGTCCGGCCGATCTCGCACAAGACACTCCCGAAGCGCCCAAGTCGATATTCGGGGCCGGCAAAGACTACCAGCCTGAAGCTAGGTTCACGACCGCTCCTGCTCCAGCGATTGGCGATGCAACGCCCATTTCATCAGGTTCGCTGACTCCGCAGGCGACGCTCATCTCTTCGGACGAGTGGGCTGTTGCGGTAATGGCACTTGGCAGCCATGGCCAGTCGGAAATCACTGCGTCTGCCCTTGACCTGTCATCCCATGCCCTCCTGACACTGTCCGAGGACCCTCTTCACTCTGGTCACAAATCTACTGTTTCTCCTACCATGAGTCCCCTGACTGCAGACTCTGTGGCCGAGATCCCTGGTCGAAGAACGCGGATGCTGGCCATAGGTACCAAAGACGGATCTGTCGTCGTCTGGAACTGTCGCGACCAGCGCAACTTGACAGAAGTGGCGCCCCTTCGTGTGATTCAGACAGAGTCGCCAGAGATCAGTTGCCTGGCCCTGACGGCGCTGTACCTGGTTCATGGTGGAAGTGATGGTCTGGTACAAGCATGGGATCCCTTGGCTTCCTCCCTCGAACCTCTCCGCACTCTGAACGGCCGGTCGAACGGGCGAGTTCCACGTCACATGATGACGATGAACCCTTCCCTTCAGAGCGATACCTACTCGGCTGCGCGGGCGATCTATCTCGACCCGGACCCTACTGTGCTGCGCGGCATCACCTCCTTTGGCGCTTTCCTCCGTTACTGGGCCTACAGCGCAACCAGCCAGCGGCCAGGCCGCAAACGTCGCCTCCGACATGCCGATGTCCATGGTCGACTCGCCACCCGTCGGCAGGGAGGAAACGTGTCGGGATACATAGCTGCCGAAACTGCAGAGCTGCGCCGCGAAGAAGAGCAAAAGGCTCGGGAAGACGCATGGCTGCGCAACAGGTTCGGCGTCGGCGCCTTTGGCGATTTGACCGAAGAGGAGGCTCTCCAGTACGCAGAGATGATTTCGCAGGAGACGCTTCTGCTCGAGGAGCAACGCCGTACTAGCGCCAGCGACACGGGTTCAGCCGCAGAGGCTGGCTTCGACACCGCTTCTTGCTTCAGCGAGAGCACAATGGACACAGTCACCCCTGAGCCCAGCGTGACCGGCTTCACGCCGCCCCCTCCCGTTGCCGAGGAAGAGGACGAGTACGAACAGCAACTCCAGCAAGCGCTTCGCCTCTCCTTGATGGAGGCCACAGATGATGTGGGGCAGCCGCAACGCAAGAACAGTTCTGGCGACTTTGACTTTGCCATCAAGTACAAGCCGAAGCCTTCGAAGAAAACCAAAAGGTCACCCTCTACCTCGCCGTCTGCAAGCTACATGCCAGTTGTCGCTCCCAATGCCGGGTCCTCCAGTAGAGCCACACCTAGAGATGACGACCTCGAACTCGCCCTCAGGCTTAGCAGCCTCGGCCCTGTCAGCCACGGCACACACAGGGATGATGATCTGGAGTTGGCGTTGAAGCTCAGTCTCCAGGAGGCTACTGCCGACGACCACACGGGCCTCGGCATACCTCATGAAGAGTTTCCCATGCTGGAGACCAAGGGTAAGGGCAAGGGCAGGATGTGAGAAGGCGAAGTGGTTGCTGCGCGGCTCTTCAGCGTGGGTTTTCCATGGCGTGTTGCTTTTATTTGTCGTGCTTTGCTGCAAGTAGTATTTTTAGTCTGCTTGGTTACAAGCGGGATTCTCGTTCTGCTTGATTCCTTAAGAATGGGCTTGAGAATACAGTCATCAATCGAGGTCTCGGTCTAGAAAAAAAATGCTTGCTTCCCTTGTGAGCCTTGGGAGGCTTTGGAAGCTGGGTTTCATAGGGCTTTAGACGCACGCACGTCTGCCCTCTGCTCCTCCTCCGCCTCGTCCAGTGCCTAAAAAGCGCAAGTCTTTGTGATTTGCGAGGACGTTACATATACATATGATGGTAGGTTGTCTACAACAGCAGTGTGGTGCTAGAGATATACGGGCGTGCAGATTTATTTGCTTCTTATATTTAGGACTTACATAAAGGCTCAAGGGAGGGGCCGTACGTTACGGCGCTTTCGTCCGCCTTGACAGAAAAGACGGCGGTGTAGTATTGTTTATATGTCTAGATAAATCTTCGCAGCGCCGAGCGTCCTTCTGTGGAGCGGTCGTCGAGCGACCATTTCGGCACACCAGAATCCATTGTCCAAGGTGCCGGTGGTTATCTCTCTTAGCAACAACGGGTGTCGGCGGTGTCATGCCCTTAAACCCTGCCATATTTAGACGGCTATTATCCATCCGCTTCTCTAGTTCCTCGAACTCTTGGCGGGTTACCAGACGAGAGCCACGGGACGCACACGGTCGATTCGCATTGCTCATAAGGGTTTCACTCTTAAACAGTAACCGGAATGGCAAGAGTTGACTACACCCAATATAGTGGCCAGACTCCTTCACTCTTTAGCACTCTTGGCCGCAAGTATTCTTCTCTGCAAGCTTGGTGCTAGCACCGATGCGTCGTCCAGGATCCTCAGCCGTAGGGGCCTGCTCTCCTCGGGCCAGCGTCGTCAGATATCCAACGAGCGGGTCGACAAGAAGCGCAAGCGAACCGGCTATGTCTCCAACAGCCGTCCAGGTCCAAAGAAGCACTTGCTGGTACCTGCTTTCCGTCTATCCTCTCTGCGAACCAGTCCGCGGCCGTGATCAGGAACCCACCGGACGGACACTTATTCGTGGCCAAACAACTCAGGCGATACCGTATCTTGTCTACTTCGAAATAGACACGCAAGCTCGTTCGGAGGTTGTTCAGACGATATCACGACACCTCGATACTGCGGCACGAATTGTGCCCTGCCCTTGACTGGAACGGCTTGCTGCCAGCAAACTGCATCCCGTCGCCCGTTGGTCTGTGTCTTGTCACTACGTCCGTTTGCCGTTCCAGCAAGGAGGCCTGGTGGACTGCACTATTATTCATCCTGTGGTAACATGCAAACAGACCTTGCTGGTGCTATTGGCACTTTGGCAATACCGATCTGTGCTCTGGGGTTATTGGTGGCTTCTGAAATGAGACTGTTGGCCAGGTATTTGGAGATATCTCGGTGTCCCAAGTCTTTGTTCATCTCACGCATCCTATCCGTGGGGGAACAGAAGCCGCCAACTACCAACTGTCACACGCCCCTTGCGCTCCTCATATGACGGGTTCCGAGCCTGGGATCATTCATCATTCCTTTCGAACTTGGTATGCCCTCCAATAGCCACCCCCGACGCCCACGCCAGCCCTCTCCAGCTCTTCAGCCTTACCGTCCCTGGACCAAACATTCCACACGGCGAGCCCCGAGATTCACCCAATTACGCAAGCCACCGGCCAGTCCTCTGAGGACACACCCGGTGGCGATTACGAGCATCGTAGAGCCGCCGTCATCTCAAGGGTTATACGAATGCACCCTCATTCCAGAGATCCCCGGCGCATCGGGCATGCCGTCCGCCTTGCCAGTACGATCGTGGAAGTGCCCGCCGAATCGGAGCATCCATCAGTCCGATCTTTTTCCCTCTCCGCCGGAACTATCAGAACAACAGCTACCGTGACTCCAACAGGCCCGACAACGGCGGTGGCGGCCTATCGGTGGCAGACGTATACGAGTTTGACGTCGGTATGTATGAGCAGGACTTTGTATGACAACATGCAGCAGGAATGGATCGAACCAGACAACGATGATTATCCCTTTGCAGCTGAAAGTGACCACGCCCCATAGTCAACTGGCATTGGATTTAGACGGCTCACCCGCAGGTACAACACCATTGCCTGATCGTAAGACAAGGTGGTCCAGCGCACCTCACTAAAACATCAAACAGACAGCAATCTAGTCAACCGCCCTGGCCAACTCGTGGCCTGTAATCTTTGTCTCGATGGAGAACCCGATGGGTCTCTAAAGGAGACCGGGTAGTTTGGGAGATTAATGGATTCTGTGGGTGAACGCCAGGTTCCAGGCGTGAAAGTGGCTTCCGGCCTGAAGACATGTGTCCTCTGGAAAGAAGGGGGTAGGGGTTCAGGAGAGATACATGCAAGATTAACTGTTGTTGGTGCTGTCCCTTCCTCTGTTGTCGTTTGAGTATTTCGGGCGGGAGGGTGGGCAGATGAAGGACAGAGGGAGGCGAGAGGGAAGGAGATCCTATCGACAGTGCTAGCTAGGTCCGCGTCTATGCACAGAACGCGGCTAATCATCCACAAGCACGCCAAAGGTGTTCCGAAGGGCAAGCTCGTAGTCCTTACCGCTGGCGTCTGACCGAAACCGAAGGACTACGCTACCAAGAACCATAGCGGGTCTACCGTTTATAACGACGTGAGAAGTACCCTGTCCGACAATCCCGATTCCGAACTCTCTTCCAGACGAGGAAAGGTCCCAGGTGTGTCTCCAGATGTAGATGGGCGATCGGACGGAGGGTGGCATGCGGCGATAGCCCTACTTCGGTGGTCTCGGCAATTCTGAAGTTATGCGCGCCTCCACATGCTGCTATTTCACGGCGTAGGGGAGGGCGGAGGGCGTACCCACGCACGCGCATGAACGCACGCCAGAAACAAGGCTGAGATGCCGGAATCTATGCTCCCATATACACGAGGAGAACCGTCAGACGAGAGCACATTCAGGAAGCCAGCTGCGGAGCGGAGTGCGTCCACCCATGAAGCTCTCTCTCTCTCTCTCCCTCCTTTGGCCCTTGGCGCTGGAACCCGGGTCGTGGATAGTGCCCTCCTGCGTCATGCCATAACCCGTCCCAAGGAGAGGAGGGAGCGGTCGCGGCCCAGGGCGGATTCGGCGTTTCTGCGGGACCACCGGCGCGGGCAGACACCCGCGGGGCGCGCGGAGTGCGAGGCGCCGCAGAGGGCAGGAGAAAGAGAAACACGCATGTTATTCGACCCCGTCGATAACGAACCATCTATATGCCCGCGCCCTCCTTGCGCCGGCTCCACGCCCCCCCAAGGCTGAGTTAAGACTCAGGCTGCGTTCTCCCCCCGCTCTCTGTGTGTCTGTGGATGTGACTGATGTGTCTTGAACCCAGGGGTTGTCAGACCATCATCATCCTCGCCGAGAGGCAAGGGGAGCCGAGTTCTAGTTATTGTCATTTGATATCAGTTGCCGTCGGCGCTATAAGGCTCGAAAGCTCCGCACCTCGAGTCGCGCGAGTGTATCATCCGATCTTTTTGCCTTACTATGTGCTTGTATATGTACCTTCAGCCTCAGCCTCAAACTCCTTCTCGGCCGCCTTCGCCCTGCCCTGTTGAGTCCGCCGAACCCCCGTCAATATCTGCCTCCTTTCTTTTTCTGTTTCTTCCCCCCCTCTGTCCTTTTTTTTTTTCTTTTTTCCAGAACATCTTTGATCGCCCGTCAGATACGCCGGACGCCGTCTTCTGTCGATCGGTCGGCGCCCCGCCGACAGGCCTAGACTAAGCACCCCCCGGTTGAAGAGTCGTAACCCATTAATGGCTGTGTGCATACCTATGTGCCTGCCATAAAGGGTTCTTCAGGTGAGGGTGTCCTTAGGAGTAGCACGAGCCATGGCTACAAGACATGACTTTGGTGGTCGTCTCATCAACAAATGGGCGATTGGTTTAGTGGTATAATGACCGCTTAGCATGCGGTAGGTCCAGGGTTCGATTCCCTGATCGTCCATCCATTTTTGCTTTTTGCCCGTTCATTGCTACCGTTGGTTTTGTCTGATTAGCTTTCCAACCTTCACTTGGGTTGATTGAGCTGGACGGTGATGTTTCTGGACCGAAGCAGGTAACGGTTCGTCACTCCTAGTAGTACGCAGAAGCGTAGAAGGAAGGACGGAGGGAAGGCGTGCCCCTCCAGTCTCACTCTGGACCCCTACGGATCGCAGTGAGACCCGCCCTAGCGACATGTCTAAATGCTGCGAGCGAGGAACTTCAAGCCATGTCCACAACAAGTGGTTATAATAGAAGTACTGTTGGATCGCAACCCATGTTCCGCGCGGACCCTCCCTCCCCCTTTCCCCGGCTTAGCCTCTCGGTAGTTCATGTGTCGTGAGAGCCTCTCCCATGCCATGCCGACTATCACGTCGGCCCTTTCCGTCGTTGTAGAGCCCCATCTTTCAATTTTGTAACATGTAGGCGTGCAAAACTGCCTACAAGCCCTACGCGTAGCCCTGCCATGTCGCGCCATGTTGCGCAGCAGCATATTCCATTAGTCAAGTCATGGCCCCTTACGCATCTCAAACCAATGCGCCCCCTAGAACCCGGACGCAGATCGCTATGCGAAGAAAATAAATAAATCAAATATTCGTCCTTGCCGCAAACGTCAACGTCACAAGGCCGCCGTCTCCCTAGACCGAGCTAGGTGCACTAGCTAGACTGAGAACCCGTGGTTTCTAGTACCGCCGGGCGACGGGGATGTTGAAACACTGCTCTCGGAAACAACGGCCTGGCGCTTGGAGATATTGCCGACGCAGGCGTCGTGAACGCGATCCGGATACGGCCCCTTGAAGTTGGAACATCGAAACCCGCTGCCGCAAGAGGTTCGTGACGAGGGGTTCGCAGGCAGCCAAGGCCTTCAGTAGGCGTGGCTGTTCCGCTGGATTGAGATCTTGTCAAATTGTTT